GAAATATTCTTTGGGAGGAAAACCATTTCCAAACTCACTTTCACTGGTAATTTCTAATAAATACTGATAAACTGCGGCTGGGGGGAAATCGATAGGAATGACACTAAGCCATAATTTAAAAATCAAAACAAGCGAACATATTTTGACAGTTTTAAACCTAGTAAATGAACCCTCTGTAAAAGAGACCCGTTTTCAGCAATTGCCGAAAAATAATATATTGACAAAGAAGTATTCATACTTTTGAAAGTGGAAAGAGGCTATTCAGAATTATTACAGTAAAAGTAAACCTTTATAAAAGTTCTGACACATTATAGTGACTTATAATTACATGCAGACACAAAAAAAACAACACACAACTCAAAAAGCTAACAGGCAATGTCCCCCTTCACCCATAATATTGCTCTAAAAAGGGTCTCATAGCTTTAACGCAAGGCCAGTTTTTCCTGTGACTGTGGTGTGACTTCTGCCTGTGACCTGTGAAGATGGTTTTATGCCTCACAGGTGGTTGATCATTGTGAATGACATTTTAAAATGATTGTCATTTCTGCCAGGAGGGTTGGAGGGTGTCATTGACTAAGTTGATTTAGTAAGAAGGCAAGGCTCCTTACAGGCACACACACTCACTGTAACTTATTGTACAATAATATATAGACCTGCCACTCTATAAAATCTAAAAATCAGGACCTCTGTGGAATATCAGGATCTGGTGAAAAAAATCAGGAGCAAAGATCCAACACTACTCTACTTCGAACAGTAAACTAACAAATTTTATCCAGTTTTAAAATTTCAGAAAATAGTGTTTCGAGTTCCTGCTGACAAAAGGTGCTTCCTGCGACAGAGAAGAAGACAGACAATAAGCTTTTAGAAAAATGCAGCGCACCAGAGGGAACAAAAATATCCGATTACACGCGATTGAAACGCCACCTCTATTCTCACCCCGGCGAGCCTTTTGGCTATTCTCACCCAGTGTGCGGTCACCGTTATAGCCTAGGCCACCAGTGTAGCATTCACCGTGAACAAACGTTCCAGCGCTCTTGTGTTGAAAGCGTGCAATTTTGTCTGTGGGCAGTGAGAGATAAAGAGAGAGAGACTGGGAGGGGGGGGGGAGAAAGAGAGAGAGGGAAAGAGAGAGAGGGAGAGAGAAAGAGAGAGGAGAGGAGTAGCGCGAGAACTTCCGTGCAAAACAAAATGGCGACCTGCATAGTTCGGCTCAATTCAAAAAGTTCCGTAGCATTTTTTAGACGACAAAATTAATTTACTTTTGTGTTTTAACTTAATTTTTTCTCTTTGTTTTTATCAATTTGATCGTCCACACCGATAGACAGTATTCAGAAAGAGACAGAGAGAGAGAGAGAAGGAGTAGATCTTGCGAGAACTTACGAGCAAAACAAAATGGTGACCCGCATAGTTCGACTCGATTCGAAAAGTGAAATAGCCATAGCACAGGGGTGCCAACACATCTCCATGGTTTTTATGACCATGAAGTAAATTAGTAATTTCCCATAAAAATTAGTAATAACGCTCTCGTTTTCAAATTACTTATATTACAACGAACAAAATTATACTTAATTACAGAAAAATAGGGCTTTTATCGAAAATTAAATAAATATGTGAAGGCCAAAGTTTTGCTTTAAACTCACCTTTTAAACCACAAAATGGCAGATGACAGATGTAATGAATTTAGGGTTGCATTTCAGGCTCTGGTGACAGTAATTTGTTTTTATCAAGGATTTCTTGCCAAATTTATTTCCATCCTGAACTTAAGAACAACATATTTACACAGCCCCTAAATTCACAAGTAACATACTTCAATCCACACTATATTTCTTTACATACTCTCTACACTGCACATTAGAGACGGGCAGTTTTCCGACTATTGGCGAACGATTTAAAGGTCTGCACTAAGACTTGTAAAAAAATGTTTCAAGAGCCAAAAAATTTCTTTTATAGCCAAGAATCTGCTGACGGTAAAAATCGTAATAAATCACCTTACAATTGGAATTTCGTAGTGAGGCAAAAAAATTGTAATGATTAATATGAAAAAATCGGAATGGTTGGCAGCCCTGCACAGCATCTTTTTAGACGACCAAATTAGCTTACTTTTGTCACTTTGGGCTATAACGTCATTTTTTCTTTGCTTTTGCCAATTTGATAATCCACACCAATAGACAGTATTACATTCCGAAAATAGGAAAAACAGATTTTGTTTCACACCGATTGAGAATAGCCAAAACTGGCAAGTCTCACCCGCGGTGAGAGGTCAATCATACTTTTAATTCTCAACTGGGGTGAAAATAGCCAGGAAAATCGGGATACACTTGAGATTTGGGGAAAAAATCCATAAATTGGCATGAGTGGCAGGTCAGAATACTATTTGGCCACCTCTATTCTCACCCCCGGGTGAGAATAGCGCTCGCCAGGCTTTTGGTTATTCTCACCCCATGTGCGTTCACTGTGATAGGCCAACCAGTGTAGTGTTCACCGTGAACATTGAACAAACGTTCTAGCGCTCTTGTGTTGAAAGCTTGCAATTTTGTCTGCGGACAGTGAAAGAGAGAGAGAGAGAGAGAGAGAGAGAGAGAGAGAGAGAGAGAGAGAGAGAGAGAGAGAGAGAGAGAGAGAGAGAGAGGGAAAGAGAGAGAGGGAGAGAGAAAGAGAGAGGAGAGGAGTAGCGCGAGAACTTCCGTGCAAAACAAAATGGCGACCTGCATAGTTCGGCTCAATTCAAAAAGTTCCGTAGCATTTTTTAGACGACAAAATTAATTTACTTTTGTGTTTTAACTTAATTTTTTCTCTTTGTTTTTATCAATTTGATCGTCCACACCGATAGACAGTATTCAGAAAGAGACAGAGAGAGAGAGAGAAGGAGTAGATCTTGCGAGAACTTACGAGCAAAACAAAATGGTGACCCGCATAGTTCGACTCGATTCGAAAAGTGAAATAGCCATAGCACAGGGGTGCCAACACATCTCCATGGTTTTTATGACCATGAAGTAAATTAGTAATTTCCCATAAAAATTAGTAATAACGCTCTCGTTTTCAAATTACTTATATTACAACGAACAAAATTATACTTAATTACAGAAAAATAGGGCTTTTATCGAAAATTAAATAAATATGTGAAGGCCAAAGTTTTGCTTTAAACTCACCTTTTAAACCACAAAATGGCAGATGACAGATGTAATGAATTTAGGGTTGCATTTCAGGCTCTGGTGACAGTAATTTGTTTTTA